ACGATTCTAAAACATCCCTGATGTTTCATTCATTAGCAAAGAGGATGTACAACCCGCCATTAAACATTGTTAGCACAGGCTGCAGAGTCAGTGGCAGGAAATCTGTGAGAGAGACAATGCCAAACCCCCTGGTGTGGCAGGAAATCTGTGAGAGAGACAATGCCAAACACCCTTGCGTAGCAGCTACTCTACTGCAGAGACTGGAAGTGGAAGGAGAATGAGAAATGTCATTGAGCTAATATCCTACATTTCCAGAGGGATGAAGAATAGATACTTCGAGAGCTGTGTATGGAAGGAGACAGAAACACAGAGAGGTTTACCTCCAATAAAAGATTCTAAACCCTGTTTGGGTAGTAATATCCCTATTTTAGGTTTGCCGTAACACAAAGTTGCAGTGTTGCCAGGTTGCCACTAAACTAGGTGTCTAACAAGCCAGGTTTAGACTGATGTGCAGCACCTACAAAGGTGCATCAGTTTAAACTCAGTGTACCATAACATCCCTAGGTGACCTAGCACAATCTCTGCATGGTAAACAGCTCTTACAGATGGGTACTAAGAGAAATGCTAAGAGAACACAGATTACACAAATCCCAAGCCTTGATAATACTTTCCATGCTTTTTGGTTTGTATAAACACTGAGATTGGTTTTATTTAAAAACTGCCCCTGATCAGGGGGCCTCTACTTCCTATGGCACAATCCCCTGCTTTCCTGCTCCTAAGGAATTATTCTGGCTGAGAGCATCTCCAAGAGGAAAGGGAAAGCATGTACAATTACTGATCAAACTGATGATCCTCCTTGTCTATTATTTTGGAAAAAAAAGAAAAAAAAAGCCGTGAAGCTCTTGTTTACACTGTACACTGTTGGGCTGCAAAGACTGTAGCTTTATGGCTGCTTGCAGATGTTAAAAAAACCCTGAAATGGTGCTTCACTTTGAACTCGGTGTACTCCTGTGTTAAGTCAAGCGCATGCCCCGAAGAGGTAGCACAGTCAGTTGGTCCTTGACCTGTATAGATCAGACGCTTTAGTAGGTCTTTTATCTAACAGCTGATTGAATCAGCTATTAGATAAAAGCACCAAAAAGCCGTGCTGAAGCACCCGATCTATACAAATGTTGCAGAGCTGGGTAGAACTAGTGTGCTGCTTCCTCCAGTAAAGCACAGTTACTTGGTTGGTTTTTTTAATGTCTGCAAACATCCTATATGCTTATGCACAAGGGTCCAGTCCAAGAGGTCCTGACCGCCGACTAGAACCTCTAAAAGTCATCTCGCTGTAGACAGTTTTACCTGCAACAAGCAGCACATCACCAGGAGAAGAAAGATGCAGCTCCTCAAACAAAGCAGGTCAGAGTTTAAAATAAAATCTTAAAAAATGATGTCACTTACGTACCCCCTTCGCATATTGTGATTGATGCCTCTATGCAACACTATAAAAGCAACAACCCACATACCACCATATGTTTATGCCTGCCTTTTTGCCAGGACATCCACATACCGGCTGTGCCATGAGCAAACAACAATCCCACCTATGAAAGGGAAGATTTTTCAAAGCATGGAGGGGTAAAATTGAAAACCAACAGGGGTTGGGTGTCCCATGCCCCTTGTCTGTAAGAAGTCTCTCCATAAATCTCTTCCATTAACTAAGCTCCCATCCTTAGACACACGCAGCCCCGCTGTTGGCACTGCTTACCTTCCTTGTCAGTGAGCACTTCCATCCTGCCACTGAACATGGCCTTCAGCATCGTGTCGTGCCGGGTCAACACCTGGACTGTGGTGTAATACAAGGAGCCCCCGACATTGAGCCGCACATACTTGTTGCCAAGGCTGCCCCCTTTGAAGCTGCAGGCTTTGGGCTTGGCTCCTGAAGCCGGACAGATGGTGGTTAAACACGTGTCCCCAGACATCTCCTTCTGCAAGTAGATGACAACTCTGCAGCACGTGGGCTTGATGGATTCCGCCGTGATTGGGGAGAAGTCACAGTGCGCTGGGCAGGGAGGGCAAGGCGGCGATTGTCATAATCCACTGGAGCCTTTGACAACGTTAGAAACAAAGGAATGGATTAGATTAGTTGGAACCAACCTTTCTGGCAGGCAGGACACAAATTACCACTGCACCCTCCCCAGCTGCCACTCCAATCCTCTTCTCTTGCCTGGTTTGCTGCTCTGCCTCCTTCCCTCCGCTCCCTGCCCCATTTGCTGCGTTGCTTTCGGCTTCCTGTCCCCTCCCTGATCGGTTGCATACCCAACACACAGGCTGCTTGGACCACTTGTGGCATGTGCGCTGTAGGTTGGCCACCCCTGGATTAGATCAACAGGGAAGCTACATTCCCCAGTGAAAATATGGGACTCATATATTTTAGCCCTGCAAGCTAGTCACGGGGACTGCAAGCTAGAAGGAAGAAAGAGTAGGTTCAAAAGCTTGTCAAGAGGACACACAGCCTTTCAGCATGAGGTTACAATTCAAACCTTACCCAAATAGGTAATGGCTGAAGATTGTCACCATGTTGGGTAACTCATCAAAATGATTTTTAGCCAGACCTCCATTTCCCCCTTCCTCCCACAGGATAAACTTTTCACATCACAAAAACCTATCAAACTATTTCTGTTAGTTTACTGATAGGATTAAAGCAGCACATGTAGCCCAGGCGCAATTATATCAGTATAAAGGTAGCCTACACACCAGGAAATAAATGGATTTAAAGGTATTTTACACACCAATTTATAGATTGATATGTTGGGTTACCTTTCTAACGAAGATATTCTTATCAAGGTAACTTATATACTAAGGAGAGAGAAAAAAAATCTGCTTTTTAACATAAAAAAGTCGTCATTCAATTAAGATGACGCTTCCCACAAGGTTTAACTAATTCACAAGGCAAGTTTGGTCCTAAATTTTCTTTCAGACCAGAGACAACAAAAGGCAACTGCGGTTTCAAGCAATGGCTGCTCCCATCTCCGTCCAGCCAGCGTCTGCCTTTCCGGTCCTTGCGGACTAAACCGATGGGACCCCCCGCTTTCTCCGCGCTGCCAGGGGCACCTCGCACCTCGCCCGGACCTCGTCTCCCGCAACCGGGAGCTTCCTGCGCTCCCCTCCCCCGGGTTTCGGGTTGAGTCGATGGGTCTTGCGTTCCCCCCAATTTTTTCCCTCCGAGCCCCCCCCAAATTACCTAAGGATCATTTGAACCCACCCCCAGCACCTGGGGTGTGACCCTCCCCCCCCCCCCCCAGCACCTA